CCCCCCCCCCCACTTTGCTGTGCCTCCTCTCTGGGTAACAGTGACTCTGACTTGCACCTTCCTCTTTTGGCTGTAGCTTGTTCCTCGATTGCATGCCAAGAAAAAACATGAGCTTGGGGGGAAAAAAAAAAAAAGGCACCTTGTGCCATATAATACATATTTATGCATCAGGCCAGACCTCCTTCTGTGTGGTTTAACACTGTGAAAGTAGGGGGCTGTTTCAGAGGCTGGCTTTCAGCCTGGCACCAAGCAGCTGTGCGGCCGCCCGAGGGGTCCACCCTGGCCATGGAGAGGAGGACTTGACGGCTCTCATCCTTCCTCTGCCCTGCAGACACTTGTGGCTCGAGGCCTGTGTTCGCTGCTGTTGAGAAGCTACTGCTAGCCCAGTGGCCCAGGCAGGAGAAGCTGATTCTTGCAGAGCATGACTGGAAAAAGCACAAGAATGCCACCATTACAAGTAAGATGTCGACAGGGTTTTCTGCTAGGGTTTATGATCAGGGGGCTGCAAACCTCTGCCCCACGATGAAAGCACTGTAGGCTGTTAGGAGCTGAAACCACTGGGAATTAATAGTATTCTAAGGGGGTGAAATGTTTCTGGGAAATCTTTTTCTGCTATCTGCTAGCTTGTATATAATAGTACTCAGCTGCTGTCAGAGCTGGGAGGATCTCAGTGCCTTGCAGGATGGTGGGTGGAAAGGTCTGGGCTCTTTTGACCAGCTGGGAGAGCTTGGCTCGCCCACGGCACCAGGCTGACTACAGAACTACTCTCCTACAGAAAACACGCTGGATATTCTCTACAGCTTTGCAAACTGCTCGGGGTTTCACCTGATCTTTGGGCTCAACGCGTTGCTGCGGACGGGTGGCTTGCAGTGGGACAGCTCCAATGCCCGGGCACTGCTGGACTACTGCGCCTGGCGGAGGTACAACATCTCCTGGGAGCTCGGGAACGGTGAGTGCGGAGCCTTCTTGTGGGCCAGGCCAGAGCACCTGCGAGGCTGCTGCCGCAGGGAAAGAAAGGGCTGGCGATGCTTTGGGTGATGGCCTGCAAAGGCAAGGTGATGTTTGCTTGGGAAGCGTTAAGCCCTTCCTTGGCGAGGAGGGATGTCACAGAAGGCCGGTGAAGGAGCAAACAGAGGGGATTTTGCTGCCCTGACGTGAGCTGAGCGGCGCAGGGTGTCACCTCAGCACGCTGCTCAGGGCAGAGTGCTGCAGTCTCGGCCTCAATCACCTTCCAGCACCTGGCCCGCACCACGCTGGGTCACGGGAGGCCACAGCGGGCTGGTGCTTCCCACATGGTAGAAGCTGCCCTTATTTTACACCCTGACACTAAAGCAGGGCGCTGATGCACGCGCATCTTCCCCAGAGCCCAACAGCTTCAGGAAGAAATCTGGCATCTACATCGATGGCTTCCAGCTGGGGCAAGATTTTATTCACTTACGCCAACTTCTGAGTAACTATCGCCTCTACCGGCATGCAAAGCTCTACGGTCCTGACGTCGGGCAGCCCCGTAAGCACACACAGAGGCTGCTGAGAAGGTAGGGGTGGGGGGCAGCACCCCCCAGGGGGGCTGGCCTCGGTAACGGTGTCATGTCTGAACCCAGATACAGGGGGCATAAGGAGGAATCCGGGCAGGATTTTAAGGATTTTCTGCTCCAAATCAACAGTAAGGATGTACAAATGGATACATCCAGTCTATTTGAGAACTAGTTTACTGCATTTTTCCTTAAATTAGAAACATGGAATTTTTTTTTCCCTGACTGGGGATGACTGAAATCTTAGCTGCATGCATGAGCTCAAGACTTAAAACTCAGCCAGCTGAAACTGTACTCCGGTGACCTGCATGCCTTTCAGTGGAGCGCCGGCTCTGGCGCTGCATTAACAGGCCTTTCACCTTAGAAATCTCTGCTTGTTACACATCGATTCATCCTTCTGGCAACCTGCTGAGGCAGCCAGGCTGCCCAAAGCCTGTTTAAGGCCATTGAATGACTTGAGTGTGTCCAGAGAAGGGCAATGGAGCTGGGGCAGGGTCTGGAGCGCAGGTCTGCTGGGGAGCGGCTGAGGGAACTGGGGGGGTTCAGTCTGGAGAAGAGGAGGCTGAGGGGAGACCTCCTGGGCCTCTGCAACTCTCTGCCAGGAGGGTGCAGAGAGGGGGGATGAGTCTCTGGAGCCAAGGAGCCAGCGCCAGGCCCCGAGGGAATGGCCTCAAGCTGCCCAGGGCAGGGTCAGGCTGGCTCTGAGGAAGGATTTCTGTGCAGAAGGGGCTGTTGGGCGTTGGAATGGGCTGCCCAGGTCAGGGGGCGAGTCCCCGGGATCCCTGGGGGGGTTGAAGAGTCGGGCTGACCCAGCGCTGAGGGATCTGGGGGAGTTGGGAAAGGTCAGGGTGAGGGTCATGGTTGGTCTGGAGGAGCTGCAAGGGCTTTCCCAACCCAGATGGTTCTGGGGTTCTGTGATATCCACTGCGGGCGTGGCCCCAAAACAGCTCTCCATCACTGCCTCCAGCTGAGGAAAAGGGGGAGGGCTATGCGCCGCAGCTCACTCATGGGGGCCACCCCTCACCAGTACCCACTAACCCCAGCTCTCCACTGATCCCCTCTGCTTGCAGCTTCCTGAAATCCGGAGGGAAGGTGATCGACTCTGTCACGTGGCACCAGTAAGTACCACTCCACATACCCTGTCACTCTGCTTATTGCCTGTTGTCTTTACAAAATGTCCATTTGAACATCTCAGTGGGAGGGAGGGGGTGAAATGCCCTCTTTCAGCCGTTCCTCAGGTGCCTCTCTGCAAACTTCTCTGCTCAGGATAAGAGATGTACTGAAGGGGTGCATTAGAGAAGTGCAGAAGGTCTCCAAAGAGGCCCAAAAGCAGCGGGGGGATGTTGTAACACAGGCAGAGCAGTGGGGAATGCCGTGTGTGCAGGACGGTCATTTGCTTGCTAAATATGCGCGCTGAGAAAAACGGAAGTGGGATGCAGAGAAAAAAGATGGCACAGCAGCTTTATTTCTCAGTGGAGCGTGAGGGGGTAGGTCACAGCTGTTTCTCCCCCACCCCAGGAGAGTTTCTGTGACCATTGAGCCTTTTTGCATATGCGATGTTTCAACATGGACCAGAAGTTTGTGAGACATGAGCCGCGGCCCTGGTTCTCTCAAAGCTCCGAGTTACTTGCACATAAAAGGCACTTTCCCAAGGGAAGAAGGGGGTGTCGTATAAAAGGAAAGAAGGTAGCTCAGACTTACTTGCAGAGATGCCTCTGCTGAACTTCTGCAAGAGCAGAAGATTTTCAACGTCTGGTTTTAAACAACCCGTGGGTGACTGGGCTTTGAAACAGAGTCTGTACCCCTGACATTGGCTCTCCCCTTGGCGTCAGAAAGGCTGAGTCTGCTTGAATGTGAAATTTTTGCTCCCTAAAAAGCAAATTCAGGGAGTCAGCCTGCTGGTGAATGCAGCCAACTCCTTGTAAAAAAAAAAAAAAAAAAAAAAAAAAAA